GCGGCAATTCCCCCGGCAGGAGAAAAACCTGAAGGACGCCCTGGGAAAGAAAAGTCAGGAGAGTCGGACCGATTAATGTAAGACGCAAAAAAACATGGGAATAGRCGGGTTTTAAGGTCGGGACTAGGRCAGTTATGAACAACCGGCCATTTTTTCGCAAAAAAGAATTTCCATGTGCAGGSTAGGTAAAGGGAATGGCGACAGAAGAAGAGATCGATGACCAGCAAAGCAGGGSGAGCCAGGGTACGAATGGGGGCGAGGAACGAAACGAGGGATCAGTGAAGGATCGAGAGTCAGCCAAACCGGAAGGAACCCAAGAAGATGGAAAGGACATTTCAACAGGAGAAAGCTCCGGGAAAGCTGGGGGTAGCAAAAGGAGACCTCAGGAAAACAGGGAAGGGGGAAACGATATGAGAAAAAGTCCTCGGAACTCATCAGGAACCACCCCTGAAAAGACGAAAGTCTCAGACGCTGCCCGTAAACTGGCTGAGATAGAAAAGCGAACTGCAGAATTTACGGCGAGGCTTATCGAGCAGATGATGGCTGGGAATGAAGAGGATCCCCACGGCGTAGGGTCACGGGAAGGACGTAGGACCAGCCAGGGTGAGGTCAGGTATGAAGGGAAGGATAACGGTTACGGGGGAACGCCTAGTAAGAAAGGGAAAAACAAGGGCGACTCCCTGGCGGAGGGGACGGAAAAGGCCATGACCCCACCTGCCATTGACAGCGGCACTAGCCGACTGCCCACCACGCCGAAAGTAACAGGGGCGTGCGACAGACTCTGGAGCCTTAGGGAAAGGGTGCTAGGTTTGTTTGACCCAGAAGGAACGCCGAAAATCGGGGAGAAGCAGAGGGAGAGCAAGGAAGGGGAGGAGACCAATGCAGCTGGAGAAGGGGGTGGCTCCGAAGGTGGGCTCAAGAGGATAGTCACCACCCTCACTCGGGCACTAAACCAGAACCAGGGGTATTTTGCAGACGCAAAGAAAAAACTCACGTTCGATGGGGCAAACATTATGGAGTTTCTGATAGACTATGAGAACCTTGCAGCCCTACTCAAATGGACGGAAGAGGAAAAGATAGATCACCTAGGGCAGCACGTGTCGCTAAGCTTGGGAAGGGACATTATGGCCATCGTCGCTTCCAGTGGATCCTAGAAAGAGACCAGGAACGAGATGATGAGGAAATACCTGAAGGCAGAGAAAATGGCAACAGAGGCCGAATTAGCACCAGTCCAGAGGAAAAACTATGTGAATTACAACGATTTCCTAAGGGCATTTACGTTAGTGGCTCTGCGAATCCCGGGGGTAACGGACCGCATAATGAGTAAATGCTTCCTTAGGCAGTTCTCCGAGTTCGATAAGGATAAGATTTTGTCAGCATACCAGCAGACCAGCAAGTTTGAGTACACAAGGGATGTGGACTTCAGCACTGTAACAGATCTGGCGGAAAAGACAGTGGTGACCGAGACGCTAACCCTACTCAAGGAGGGAGAGGTTATAGATCTGACTGGGAAAACGAGAGATAAGGTCAAGAAGGGGATAGAGAGTTTGCACGAGCAGGTGCACGGGGTTGACAATAAGATAGAAAGAACGGAAAGCGCGCTATTAGTAATGCAGGCGCAAGTATCCCGACCCGCCTTCCCGCCCCAAGAAGCCGTGGTTCCGGCAGCTGTAGCAAACCAGGGATTTGGCAGGAGGGACCCGACCAAGGAACAATGCAAGTATTGCATCATGATCGGGCATTTCGTACGGGTCTGTCCGAGACTCAATCACGATATTGAGCGACAGAGGTGCAGCAGATCCCTCAAAAGCAAGATCCTCGGACCGCGGGGGAAGCGTGTAAATTGGAACTCGTTAGGAGGGATGCGGCGAGCCGTCATCCTCCTGAATAACCTAGAGATAGCTACCGTGGAAGCAGAGCTGATAGCTGAGATTGTTTGGGACCAGCCAACGGGACGGGGACCACAGGCCAATTTTATCCTATAAGGCAGTGGACAAGATAAGGTAAATATCACCACTCGGCGGGCCGGCGTAGAAAAAAAACTTATTCAAGATACAGTAATGGAAGAACTCGCATGGACTAGCGCAGGCCAGCAACAGACTGAAGCCGGGGAACAAGAGAAGGTTTATGGGAAAGCAAGGGAGGAGGAATCGGTAGACAAAGTTATGGCGGTAAAGCAACAGACTGAAATCGATGGCACCATGAGCAAGTTGCTGGGTACCATGGTATCAGTGTCCTTTCAAACCATGCTGCAAGCCAGCCCAAGGCTGCTTAAAAGACTCAGGCAGTTGCTAACACGCAAGCACGTAGAGGTAGAGGAGGCCCCGAAATCGCAGGAGCAGGAGACGGAAGAGGCAGAGGCACCTCAAGGTGTCTCCAACCTCCAAAGAATTCCCGGGGATTTGGAGGACCTGGAAAAGGCCTTTGTAGACATCCGCCTAAGCCTACCGGACCGAGAAGGGGGTGAAGTGATGAGGGCGCCGCCCGGGACGAAGTTCAACTTCCATGCACTACCTGTCAGAAAACTTAAAGTCCAAATCAGCCTTGCATGACTGTTTGAAATGCATGATATTGGAAAGAGTTGGGCTTTGAAAAAATATATTGGACTCCACCTTGGAAAAGATTTTCGACTCAGCTTTGGAAGATATATTGCATTGAGCATTGAAATTGGATTGAGCATTGGAAAGGGATTGAGCATGGAAGTGAGACTGAGCATAGACATTGGATTGAGTACTGGAAATTGCACTGCATAAACAGGGGACCCTAGACAACTTGAAATGGACTTGGAAAGAGCACTGAAATGGAATTCCTCTTCTCTTCTAGTATTTGGCCTCATCAAGAGGGGGATATCGGTGCATGCACCGCGAACCCAAGACCTCTATCCCTTTGAGGGAAAAAGTCTCAGCGCGACCTGTTCCTCTTCGAGAGGATGAGGGTTAAAGGACTAAGGCACCTACCACTTGGATCGGTGCGGGACGTCCGGAACCATCCCCGACAATGAACTCTAGTCGGGGAGTTCAAACTGCGCCTCCTATTGAACGCCTAAACGTCAAAGGGCGAGAGAGCCAAATGGGCGAGAGAGCCATTCTTATCTAAGTCTATTCTGCTATTCTCCAACCACACGCCATGTCATAGAGGGGTGCCATGGCCGTTTGGGCCGGACCACGGCTGCCCGCGCTAAGTTGGGCGGCATTGTCCAAATGGAGAGGCTGGGCGAGGTACCGGGTGGAGTCTGCCACCACCACGGGGCATTGACACTGCCCTGCCAGAACATTACAACCGTTTCGGGACTAATTGTGAGGTCTTCGTAACTGCACTCGCGGACTAATCGAGAGTCCCAACTCTCTTGAAAGGAAGAGGCCGGAATCCAAAACACCACCACTCGGGAGGAACGATTCACGAGGAACACTCTTATGGCTAGACGAGGTCCTGGCAGGCTTGGATTTGACCTATCTGACAGACGCGGGGAGGAACCTCAGTATTGGTGCTCGCCACGTGAGAAAATAAAGGTCGAATCGGGTAGAAGGATGAAGCGTCGTCCGCTGAAGAGAAACTGATCACTCCTCCTTTTGTGAAGCGGATGGGCTTGTGTCCTTGGCCTGCGGTTGGCGGGCCAAAGGTTTGCGTACCTCCAAGTGAGAACCAGTCGCGCGATGAGGACATCGTATTTTGAGTCGGGGGAAGGTGCGCCATGCACCAATAGATACGCATGGAAAAAAACCTGTAATTGGTTTTGCATGGGCCTGAGAAAAGGGGGCTGGCAAGACGCCCAGAAAAGAAAAAGACTTGTAATTGGTTTGCATGGGCCTGAGAAAAGGGGGCTGGCAAGACGCCCAGAAAAGAAAAAGACTTGTAATTGGTTTGCATGGGCCTGAGAAAAGGGGGGCCCTGACAAGAGGCCGGGACAGAAGGGACTTGAGCAAGTAACATGGCATGAACTTGAGAAAAAGGGTCTGGCTGGATGACCAGGAAGGAAAGGGCTAGTATGATTGATTCTGAATGGACTTGTAAGCGGAGGTATGGTTGTGTGACTGATCTGCATAAGCTTGAAAAGAAGAGTCTGGCAAGGCACTTGGGAAAGGAATGTTCAAAAGGGAAGAATTGAGCAGCGCACATGAAAATCAAGACAAGGGAAAAAGACAAGAATTGGCAAAAGGGTGATATGCATGCGGAATTGGCAGGATCTGTGAAAAGCCGGGAAGAATGAACCAGGAAGAATGCATGTGGATTTGGCCATGCCTAAGCTTTAGGGAGAGGAAAACTGGTACTGGAAAGGTGTGGATGTCCTAAGAGTAATGAATGAGACGAAACCAGGATGGTGTCTGCTCGAGAATATTTTCTCGATGAAATGGGAAGATAGATGTGAGATTACGAATGCAGCCTTCAAGACATTGTCAAGAGTGAGAACTAACGCATAATGAAAGACTAGTGCAAGACATGTCTGTTGACGGACCTTCCCAAAGGACAATGCTAGACAACTTGATGAGGAAAGAAAGAAAGAAAGCGACATCGAGCTGCTTAAAACCCTTGACGTGTTGTTAGCTCGCACCTGAAGGAAGCCATGGCGGATGATCCTTGTGACATTCGCCGCCAAAATCTTCCTCTTACCTCGGTCCCTGGGGAGGGAGATGGGTTTGTCGTCCTCTCTTTTGTGGGACGATACCGGAGGTTGTTGGGAAGCTCCTGGGTATTTGGAAGTTCCAGTGAGAAAGAGATACAGCTGTAAGACGGACGTTGATACACAAAGAGTGTTACGCGCTCGTTACAAAGACATTATTGAGTTTGGAAACGTTACGCAATCGAAAGGAAACCCGAAACAAAACCTTGACCCCTTCATACCCTCCGCCGCCCCAAGGGGCGGAAACTTAAAAAAATGACCCGAGAAAAAGAGTGGAAAAGACAAAAAGAACCCTGGCAAGCTAACTACTCATCCCACCCCACTCCTCTTCCCTGTCTGTCTCTCACTCCAAAATTCCTACTAACCATGGATTGGTGCGCGATGAGGACATCGTGAATGGGTGGGGGGAATATGTTGGGACTGGTGAGTCCCGAATGATTTCCCGTCACTCGAGAGACTATATATGACCAATTTGTGCACGGCAGAGAAAACCAGAGGCAGGAATGCTGGAAAGATCGGAAGCGTGCGCACGGACAGTTGGAAGCTAGAGGCTGCCCAGAGTTGTCAGGACCGCCAAACTAGAAAGGGACTGTCTAAGCAGGAAGCGACAAAGGACTGTGAGAGAATAACAGGGGCGACTCTTTCCCCAAGGATGCAGAAGGGCCGTCGGGAAGTCGGTAGTAGCATAGGAGGTGCGCAGCAAGGGAAGGAAGGAAGTAGGAAGGGACAGGGCGAAAGGCGCTGACGTGACATGGCGGTAAGAAGGCCAAGGAGGCCGCCAGTCGGATGAGAGTTGACACCCGAAACGGAACAGCGTGCGGGATGTAAGAGGAACGGGGAATGGAGATCGCCGTAAAGCAGAAGGACGTCAGGAGAACCAAGGAAAGACATGGTACAGGTGGGGCAGCAGTGTCGGGGACCGAATAGGATCGAAGGATGGGGTGATACCAGCAGAACAAAGTGTCGGGGACCACGCAGGACCAAGAGACGGCGTGGTGCCGGCAGGGCGGAGTACCGGGAACCTCGTGAGACCAAGGGAAAGACGTAATGTAGGCAGACCGAAGTGTCAGGGACCGCGTGGGCCTAGATAAAATGGCGGCACTAGCGGAACCACTAGCAGGACGGTATCGACAGGATAAAGTGTCGGGAGCCGCCAACGGGGGCTGAAGGTCGTAACCGTCGGCGGAATAATCGGCGACCAGCTCAAAGAGGGGGGCGCACGAGAGCGGGTCGTCACCCGGGATGACGCCGGAAAAAAGGGGGGGACTAGGAACAATAAGGAAAAGAGGAGAAGTCGGGCGCTGACAGAAATTGTCGACAGAACGGAGGAGACGGGCGTGAGACGGGAAATACGGAGGGCACCTGGGACGACCCAGGGGGACCCTGGATCAAGCGCAACAATGATAAAAATAAGATAACATAATGTCAGGTGGACGGGACCGCTCGGGCCAGGGGTCCGGATGAAAATGTTAAGTACCGCCTCGCCAAGCGCTGGCGGGAGGTGTCGAAGGGAAAAGAGGGGGGAACAGTGGTAATGAGGAGGCCAACCAGCAGCCCGGGTTATTCCGGATCAGCCAGGGTAAAGAAAAACAAAGTCCCAAGGGCCCGCATGAAGAAATGGCTGGCCGGAGAGAGCCGCGACAGCCAAAAGGAGCCCCCTAGGACCATGGGGGTGTCACTATTGCAATCCGAAGTCCAACGGCCACCTGCTGGCTGCCAAATCG